GATTTGGGGTGGAATTTGGGGTGTGGGATGATGATTTTGGGTGGAATTTGGGGTACCCCGTGCCCCCCAACCCTACAATTCTCTGGGGGGTTTATTCCCCCTTTTCCCAGGGCGGGCACAGCAGGAACGAGGTGCAGACAGAGGGAAAAGTTGGGGGGCAAAGCTGGCACCCCCAAAAAGGGCACCGGGCTGGCATCTGCCCGATGTTTGCGTGTCCCCCCTGCGGAAAAATTGGGGAGCAAAGCTGGCACCCCCAAAAGGGGCACAGGGCTGGCATCGCCCCAGTGTTTGGGTGTCCCCCCCGGGGAAAAGTTGGGGGGCAAAGCTGGCACCCCCAAAAAGGGCACAGGGCTGGCATCTCCCCGATGTTTGTGTGTCCCCCCTGCGGAAAAATTGGGGGGCAAAGCTGGCACCCCCAAAAGGGGCACAGGGCTGGCATCTGCCCGGTGTTTGGGTGTCCCCAATGCGAAAAAATTGGGGGGCAAAGCTGGCACCCCAAAAGTGGCACCGGGCTGGCATCTGCCCGATATTTGGGTGTCCCCTTCTCGGAAAAGTTGGGGGGCAAAGCTGGCACCCCAAAAGTGGCACAGGGCTGGCGTCTGCCCGGTATTTGGGTGTCCCCTCCACGGAAAAATTGGGGGGCAAAGCTGGCACCCCAAAAGAGGCACAGGGCTGGCATCTCCCCGATGTTTGCGTGTCCCCCCCGGGGAAAAGTTGGGGGGCAAAGCTGGGACCCCCAAAAGTGGCACCGGGCTGGCATCTCCCCGATGTTTGGGTGCCCCCCCGCCCGGTGCCCCCTCCCGGGCCGGGGTGAGGGGATTGGCACCTCCGGAATGGGCTGCGAGCCGTGCCCTTATCGCCGTGCCCTTATCGCCGTGCCCTTATCGCCGTGCCCTTATCGCCCGCCGGTGCCACCTCCGTGTCCCCAAACGCGCGGGGGGCTCCGTGCCCGCGCCCCCCCAGACCTCTGCCATCCACTTGGGGTCCCTGCGGGGGCACTTTGGGGTGCCCCGTGTGCCCCCGTAATTTGGAATGATGATTTTGGGTGTAATTTGGGGTGCCCTGTGTGCCCCCGTAATTTGGAATTATTATTTTGGGTGTAATCTGGGGTGCCCCGTGTGCCCCCGTAATTTGGAATGATGATTTTGGGGTGCAATTTGGGGTGCCCTGTGTGCCCCCGTAATTTGGAATTATTATTTTGGGTGTAATCTGGGGTGCCCCGTGTGCCCCCGTAACCCAAAATGAGGATTTTTGGGGTGCAACTTGGGGTGCCCCGTGTGCCCCCGTAATTTGGAGTGATGATTTTGGGTGCAATTTGGGGTGCCCTGTGTCCCCCCATAGATCGGGGTGGTGATTTTGGGTGCAATTTGGGGTGCCCTGTGTCCCCCCACATCTCGGGGTAGGCTGGGACAGTTTTGGGGACATGGCTGGGACAGTTTTGGGGACATTTTGTGACAGTTTTGGGTACGAATCTGGGACATTTTTGGGGAAATTGCTGGGACATTGCTGGGACAGTTTTGGGTACGATTCTGGGACAGTTTTGGGGACATTTTGTGACAATTTTGGGGACATTGCTGGGACAGTTTTGGGGACATTGCTGGGACAGCTTTGGGGGACATTGTTGGGACAGTTTTGGGGACATTGCTGGGACTGTTTTGGGGACATTTTTGTGACAATTTTGGGGACATTTTTGTGACAGTTTTGGGGACATTGTTGGGACTGTTTTGGGGACATTCTTGGGACAGTTTTGGGGACATTTTGTGACAGTTTTGGGGACACTGCTGGAACAGTTTTGGGGACATTGCTGGGACTGTTTTGGGGACATTTTTGGGACAGTTTTGGGTACGATTCTGGGACAGTTTTGGGGACATTTTGTGACAATTTTGGGGACACTGCTGTGACAGTTTTGGGTACATGGCTGGGACAGTTTTGGGGACATTTTGTGACAATTTTGGGGACACTGCTGTGACAATTTTGGGGACACTGCTGGGACAGTTTTGGGTACAATTCTGGGACAGTTTTGGGGACATTTTGTGACAATTTTGGGACACTGCTGGGACAGTTTTGGGGACATGGCTGGGACAGCTTTGGGGACGTTTTTGGGACAGTTTTGGGGACACTGCTGGGACAGTTTTGGGGACATGGCTGGGACAGTTTTGGGGACATTTTTGGGACAGTTTTGGGGACATTTTTGGATCGTTCCCAGGTCCCAGCAGCACGGGTTGGGGGGGGGGGTCACCCCAAAAGCTTTTGGGGATTGGGGCGCACTGGGGGTCCCCCGCGATGTGACAATCCCCCTTCCCTCCGTCCCCCCCCTCCCTCGCCCACCCTTCCCGCTCCCGCCGTGCCTCAGTTTCCCCAGCCGCCCCGCGGGGTGACACAACCACAATGGGGTGACCCCAAATTTTTCTCCGCCTGTTCCGGGGTTTGCTCAGCGCCCCGAGGAG